ATTTAGGATCATTTTCCCTAAATTTGGGGCATTTTGGGGTCATTTTCTGGATTTTGAAGGTGATTTTGGGGTTGTTTCCCAAAATTTGGGGGATTTGGGATCATTTCCCAAAGTTTGGGCGATTTTGGAGGAATTTTTGGAATTTTGAAGGTGATTTTGGGATCCTTTCCCAAAATTTGGGGGATTTGGGATCATTTCCCAAAGTTTGGGGGATTTTGGGGTCATTTGCTGAATTTTGGGGGGGATTTTGGCTTTGGTTCCCTAAATTAGGGGAGATTTGGGATCCTTTTCCGAAATTTGGGGGATTTTGGGGTCATTTTCTGAATTTTAGGGGTGATTTTAGGATTATTTCCCAAAATTTGAGGGATTTAGGATCATTTTCCAAAGTTTGGGGAATTTTGTGAACTTTGAGGGTGATTTTGGGATCATTTCCCAAAGTTTTGGGGGGATTTGGGATCCTTTCCCAAAATTTGGGGGATTTGGGAGGAATTTTCTGAATTTTGGGGCATTTTGGGATCATTTCCCAAAGTTTGGGGGATTTTGGGGTAATTTTCTGAATTTTGGGGGTGATTTTAGGATCATTTCCCAAAATTTGGGGGGATTTAGGATCATTTTCCTAAAGTTTGGGGGATTTTCTGGATTTTGAAGGTGATTTTGGGATCATTTCCCAAAATTTGGGGGATTTGGGATCATTTCCCAAAGTTTGGGGGGGATTTTGGGTTTGTTTCCCAAAATTTGGAGGATTTTGGGGTCATTTTCTGAATTCTGGGGGTGATTTTGGGATTTTTTTTCCCTAAATTTGGAACATTTGGGGATCATTTCCCAAAATTTGGGGATTTTGAGCCTCATTTGTCCAATTTTGGGGCGGTTTGAGGAGATTTCATGAAAATTTGGGGAATTTTGAGGCTCTTTTGGGGCTTTTGAGCTTCAGTTCCCAAATTTTGGGGTCATTTAAGGATTTCATTCCCAAAGTTTTGGGGTTATTTGAGGATAATTTCCCAAATTTTGGGGTTTTTAAAGGATAATTCCCCAATTTTGGGGTCATTTAAGGATTAATTCCCAAATTTTTGGGTTATTTGAGGATCATTCCCAAAGTTTTGGGGTTATTTAAGGATAATTTTCCACATTTTGGGGATTATTTAAGGATAATTCCTAAATTTTTGGGTCATTTAAGGATTTAATTTCCAAAATTTTGGGATTTTATCAGAATAATTCCCAAATTTTGGGGTTATTTAAGGATTAATTCCCAAAATTTTGGGGTTGTTTAAGGAACTGGAGGAAAATTGGGAATTTTCATCCCAAATTTCCTGGGATTGGCTGAAAATTTGGGGAATTCTAAGGGAAAATTTCTGGATTTGGGAGAATTTAGGAATTTCTGATGCTCTGGAAGTCGGATTTGGGGAATTTTCTCCTTTTTCTGCCATCTCTGGGCTTGGATTTGGGGCTGAAATTGAGAATTTTTGGCTGAAATTGGAGATTTTGGGCTGGAATTGATGATTTTGGGGCTGAAATTCAGAATTTCTGACCAAGAATTGGGAATTTTGGGGCTAAAATTGGGATTTTTGGGGGCCAGAATTTGGAATTTTAGGGCCAGAAATTGGAATTTTGGGGCTGGAATTGGGAATTTTAGGGCTGAAATTTGGATTTTTGGGGGCCAGAATTGGGAATTTTGAGGCTGAAATTTGGATTTTTGGGGGGTAGAATGTGGGAATTTTGAGGTCAGAAGTGGAGATTTTGGGCTGGAATTGAGAATTTGGGGTTAAAATTAAATTTTTTGGGCTGGAATTTGGGATTTTGGATTCTGAATTTGGGGATTTTTGGGGCTAAAATTGGGGATTTTGGGATTCTGAAATTGAAAATTCTGGGGCTAAAATTGGGGATTTTGGATTCTGAAATTTGGAATTTTGGGCTGGAATTGGGGATTTTGGGGCTGAAATTCAGAATTTCTGGCCTAGAATTGGGAATTTTAGGGCTGAAATTTGGATTTTTGGGGGCCAGAATTGGGAATTTTAGGGCCAGAAATTGGAATTTTGGGGCTGGAATTGGGAATTTGGGGGCTGGAATTTGGATTTTAGGGCTGAAATTTGGATTTTTGGGGGCCAGAATTGGGAATTTTGAGGCAGAAATTGAGAATTTTTGGCTGGAATTGGGGATTTTGGGCTGGAATTCAGAATTTCTGTCCTAGAATTGGGACTTTGGAGGCAGAAATTGGGAATTTTGAGGCTGAAATTTGGATTTTTGGGGGTAGAATTTGAGAATTTTGAGGTCAGAAGTGGAGATTTTGGGCTGGAATTGAGAATTTGGGGTTAAAATTAAATTTTTTGGGCTGGAATTTGGGATTTTGGATTCTGAATTTGGGGATTTTTGGGGCTAAAATTGGGATTTTGGGGCTGGAATTGAGAATTTTGGGGCTAAAATTGGGATTTTTGGGGGCCAGAATTTGGAATTTTAGGGCCAGAAATTGGGAATTTTGAGGCAGAAATTGGGAATTTGGGGGCTGGAATTGGGAATTTTAGGGCTGAAATTTGGATTTTTGGGGGCCAGAATTGGGAATTTTGAGGCAGAAATTGAGAATTTTTGGGGCTGGAATTGGGGATTTTGGGGCTGAAATTCAGAATTTCTGTCCTAGAATTGGGAATTTGGGGGCTAAAATTGGGAATTTTGAGGCTGAAATTTGGAATTTTAGGGCTGAAATTTGGATTTTTGGGGGTAGAATGTGGGAATTTTGAGGTCAGAAGTGGAGATTTTGGGGTTGAAATTGGGAATTTTGGGCTGAAATTGGGGAATTTATGGAAATTCTCTTTTTTTCCCCAGAGCTTTTTGCAGCGTGAGGTGGAAAATGAAGCTCAGGGGCTGAGGAGCCACAGCTGGGAGGGACCTGGAACTCAGGTGAGCTCAGATTCCCCCAATTTCTGGGGAAAATGGGGAAAAAATGGGAAAAATTCAAATTTTTGGTCCCAAAATCTCATTTTTCCATCAGAATTTCCCAATTTTGGGGGGGTTGGGGACTAAAAAAAATGGGAAAAAAAACTCAAATTTTGGTACCAAAATCTCATTTTTTCAGTTGCATCCTCCCAATTGGTTTGGGTTGGGGGCTGAAAAATGGGGAAAAAAGTGAAAAAAATCCAAATTTTGGTGCCAAAATCTCATTTTTCTGTTGAATTCTCCTGATTTTTTGGGATCCCAATAATCCCAGGGTGGATTTCCAGGATTTTGGGGAAATTTTCCCCTCAGAGTTGGGATCTGGAGCAGAAATCCCTCCAGGAAATGCGGATTTGGGGCTGGAAAAAATGAGGAAAAAAAGTGAAAAAAATCCAAATTTTGGTGCCAAAATCTCATTTTTCTATAGAATTCTCCTGATTTTTTGGGATCCCAATAACCCCAGGGTGGATTTCCAGGATTTTGGGGAAATTTTCCCCTCAGAGTTGGGATCTGGAGCAGAAATCCATCCTGGAAATGTGGATTTGGGGCTGGAAAATGGGGAAAAAAATTGAAAAAAATCCAAATTTTGTTGCTAAAATCTCATTTTTCTGTAGAATTCTCCTGATTTTTTGGGATCCCAATAATCCCAGGGTGGATTTCCAGGATTTTGGGGAATTTTCCCCTCAGAGCTGGGATCTGGAGCAGAAATCCCTCCCGGAACTGCGGATTTGGGCTGAAAAATGGGGGGAAAAAGTGAAAAAACCCCAAAATTTGGGGGTTTTTTTTGCCCCAAACCTCATTTTCCCCTCAGAATTTTTGCCATTTTGTGGGGTTTGGGTGGAAATTGCTGAATTTTTCCCTCAGAGTTGAGTCAGGAGCAGAAATCCCTCCTGGAACTGCGGATTTGGGGGCTGCAAAAAATGGGGAAAAAAAAGTGAAAAAAAACCAAAATTTGGGGTTTTTTTTTTTTTGCCCCAAACCTCATTTTCCCCTCAGAATTTTGCCATTTTGTGGGGTTTGGGTGGAAATTGGTGAATTTTGCCCTCAGAGTTGGGATCTGGAGCGAAATCCCTCCCGGAAATGCGGATTTGGGGCTGAAAAAAATGAGGAAAAAAAGTGAAAAAACCCCAAATTTTGGGGGTTTTTTTTTTTTGCCCCAAACCTCATTTTCCCCCTCAGAATTTTGCCATTTTGTGGGTTTGGGTGGAAATTGCTGAATTTTCCCCTCAGAGTTGGAGTCAGGAGCAGAAATCCCTCCCGGAACTGCAGATTTTGGGCTGAAAAAAATGAGGAAAAAAAGTGAAAAAACCCCAAATTTTGGGGGTTTTTTTTTGGCCCCAAACCTCATTTTCCCCTCAGAATTTTGCCCTTTTGTGGGTTTGGGGTGGAAATTGGTGAATTTTCCCCTCAGAGTTGGGATCTGGAGCCGAAATCCCTCCCGGAAATGCGGATTTGGGGCTGAAAAAAATGAGGAAAAAAAGTGAAAAAACCACAAAATTTTGGGGGTTTTTTTGCCCCCAAACCTCATTTTCCCCTCAGAATTTTGCCATTTTGTGGGTTTTGGGTGGAAATTGCTGAATTTTGCCCTCAGAGTTGGAGCCGAAATCCTCCCGGAAATGCGGATTTGGGTCTGAAAAAAATGAGGAAAAAACGTGAAAAAACCCCAAAATTTGGGGTTTTTTTTTTGGCCCCAAACCTCATTTTCCCCTCAGAATTTTGCCATTTTGTGGGTTTTGGGTGGAAATTGCTGAATTTTGCCCTCAGAGTTGGGATCTGGAGTAGAAATCCCTCCCGGAAATGCGGATTTGGGTCTGAAAAAAATGAGGAAAAAAACGTGAAAAAACCCCAAATTTTGGGGTTTTTTTTTGCCCCAAACCTCATTTTCCCCTCAGAATTTTGCCATTTTGTGGGTTTTGGGTGGAAATTGGTGAATTTTGCCCTCAGAGTCGGGAGTGGAGGCGCCGTGCCCGGGGCAGGATCCATGGCCAGGCCGAGCGAGCTCTGAGTCCGCGGCGGATTTGGGATCAAATTCCATGCAATGTATCCTACAAGGGTACCTGGGATTGGGACCCCAAAAAATGGCTTCTCCCGAATTTCTGCCCCTTTTTTCCCAAATTTCTGCCCCTTTTTTCCAAATTTCTGCCCCTTTTTCCTGAATTTCTGCCACTTTTCCCCAATTTTCTGCCCATTTTCCCCAAATTTTCTGCCCCTTTTTCCTGAATTTGTTTTTTTCCCGACCCCCAAATCCACCTCAGGCCGGTCCCACCCCCTTGGAGCCACCTCAGGGTGGTCCCAGATCCATCTCAGGTCCCTCAAGCCGGTCCCACCCCCTTGGTGCCACCTCAGGTCCCTCAGGGTGATCCCAACCCCCTTGGTGCCACCTCAGGGTGATCCAAAGCCCAAAATCCACCTCAGGGTGGTCCCAGATCCATCTCAGGGTGATCCCAACCCCCTTGGTGACACCTCAGGGTGATCCCAAAGCCACCTCAGGGTGGTCCCAGATCCACCTCAGGGTGATCTCAACCCCCTTGGTGCCACCTCAGGCTGGTCCCACCCCCTTGGTGACACCTCAAGGTGACCCCAAAGCCACCTTAGGTCCCTCAGGCCGGTCCCACCCCCTTGGTGCCACCTCAGGCTGGTCCCAACCCCAAAATCCACCTCAGGCTGGTCCCAGATCCACCTCAGGTTGATCCCACCCCTCTTGGTGCCACCTGAGGTTGGTCCCAAAGCCACCTCAGGTCCCTCAGGTTGATCCCAACCCCTTGGAGCCACCTCAGGCTGGTCCCACCCCCCATTTGGTGCCACCTCAGACTGGTCCCACCCCCCTTGGTGCCACCCCAGGCCGGTCCCACCCCCCTTGGTGCCACCCCAGGCTGGTCCCACCCCCATTTGGTGCCACCCCAGGCCGGTCCCACCCCCTTGGTGCCACCCCAGGCCGGTCCCACCCCCCTTTGGTGCCACCCCAGGCTGGTCCCACCCCCATTTGGTGCCACCCCAGGCTGGTCCCACCCCCCTTGGTGCCACCCCAGGGTGGTCCCACCCCCATTTGGTGCCACCCCCATTTGGTCCCACCCCCATTTGGCACCACCCCAGGGTGGTCCCACCCCCATTTGGTGCCACCCCAGGCTGGTGCCACCCCCCCTTTGGTGCCACCCCAGGCCGGTCCCACCCCCATTTGGCGCCACCCCAGGCTGGTCCCACCCCCATTTGGTGCCACCCCAGGCCGGTCCCACCCCCATTTGGTGCCACCCCAGGGTGGTGCCACCCCCCACAGCTCCACGCTCCGTGCACCCGCAGGGTCTCCGGTGAGGAATGCAACGGCATCAACGCCATGGCGGCCGAGAGCGGCCCCGGCACGCGCCTGCGGAACCTCCCGGTGCTGCCGGACGCCTTGGACTCCAGCCAGGGCTCGGCGGCGCCGGCGCCCGGCCAGGCCCAGCCCGGGGGGCGGCGTCGGGGTCAATCCGCCGCCGCCCGAGACCTCCAACCCCAACAAGCCCAAGCGCCAAACCAACCAGCTGCAGTATCTGCTCAAGGTGGTCCTCAAGACCCTCTGGAAGCATCAGTTCGCGTGGCCCTTCCAGCAGCCCGTGGACGCCGTCAAGCTCAACCTCCCGGTGAGCGCGGGACAAGGTTGGGGTGCCCTTGGAAGGTTGGGGGTCTCCAGGAATGTTGGGGTTCCCTTGGAATGTTGGGGGTCTCCAGAGATTGGGGTTCTTCAGGAGCTGGAGAAGGTTGGGGGTCTCCAGGGATAGGGGTTTCTCCAGGAACTGGGGGAATGTTGGGGTTCCTTTGGAATGTTGGGGTCTCCAGGGATTGGAGAAGGTTGGGGTTCCCTTGGAATGTTGGGGGTCTCCAGGATCTGGGGAAGGTTGGGGTTCTTTTGGAATGTTGGGGTTCTTAAGGATCTGGAGAAGGTTGGGGTTCCCTTGGAATGTTGGGGTCTCCAGGTACTGGAGAATGTTGGGGTTCTTCAGAATCTGGGGAATGTTGGGATTCCCTTGGAATGTGGGGATCTCCAGGGACTGGGGAAGGTTGGGGTTCTCTTGGAATGTTGGGGTGCCCTTGGAATGTTGGAGGTCCCCAGGATCTGGAGAAGGTTGGGGTTCTTCAGGAGCTGGAGAAGGTTGGGGTTCCCTTGGAATGTTGGGGGTCCCCAGGATCTGGAGAAGATTGGGGTTCTCCAGGAGTTGGGGAAGGTTGGGGTTCCCTTGGAATGTTGGGGTTCCCTTGGAATGTTGGGGTTCCCTTGGAATGTTGGGGCTCTCCAGGAGTTGGGGAAGGTTGGGGTTCTCCAGGATCTGGAGAAGGTTGGGGGTCTCCAGGAACTGGGGATGTTGGGGTTCTCTTGGAATGTTGAGTTGAGTTCTCCAGGGATTGGGGAAGGTTGGGATTCTCCAGGAACTGGGGAAGGTTGGGGTTCTCTTGGAATGTTGGGGTTCTCCAGGAATGCAGAAGGTTGGGGATCTCCAGGGACTGGGGTTCTCCAGGAGTTTGGGAAGGTTGCGGGTCACCAGGAACTGGGGGATGTTGGGGTCCCCTTGGAATGTTGGGGTTCTCCAGGAGCTGGAGAAGGTTGGGATTCTCAGAGGTTGGGGAATGATCCCATGCTGGAGTTGGTGACCCCGTGGTTGGGTTGGTGACCCCATGGTTGGGTTGGTGACCCCATGGTTGGGTTGGTGACCCCATGGTGACCCCCAGGGTTGAGTTGGTGACCCCAGGGTTGGGTGGTGACCCCATGGTTGAGTTGGTGACCCCAGGGTTGATTTCATGACCCCAGGGTTGAGTTGGTGTCTCCATGGTTGGGTTGGTGACCCCAGGGTTGGGTTGGTGACCCCGTGGTTGAGTTGGTGACCCTGCGGTTGAGTTGGTGACCCCAGGGTTGAGTTGATGTCCCCATGGTTGAGTTGGTGACTCCATGGTTGAGTTGGTGACCCCATGGTGACCCCATGGTTGAGTTGATGTCTCCATGGTTGGGTTGGTGACCCCGTGCTGGAGTTGGTGTCCCCGTGGTTGAGTTGGTGACCCCGTGGTTGGGTTGGTGACCCCAGGGTTGAGTTGATGTCCCCATGGTTGAGTTGGTGACCCCAGGGTTGAGTTGGTGGACCCCAGGGTTGGGTTGATGATGTCATGGTTGAGTGATGTTCCCATGGTTGGGTTGATGTCCCCGTGGTTGGGTTGGTGACCCCATGGTTGGGTTGGTGACCCCAGGGTTGGGTTGTGACCCCATGGTTGAGTTGATGACCCCAGGGTTGAGTTGATGTCCCCATGGTTGGGTTGATGTCCCCATGGTTGAGTGGTGACCCCATGGTGGAGTTGATGACCCCATGGTTGGGTTGGTGACCCCATGGTTGGGTTGGTGACTCCATGGTTGGGTTGGTGACTCCATGGTTGGGTTGGTGACTCCATGGTTGAGTTGGTGACCCCAGGGTTGGGTTTGGTGACCCCGTGCTGGAGTTGGTGACCCCATGGTTGGGTTGGTGACCCCATGGTTGGGTTGGTGACTCCATGGTTGGGTTGGTGACCCCATGGTTGGGTTGGTGACCCCATGGTTGGGTTGGTGACTCCATGGTTGAGTTGGTGACTCCATGGTTGGGTTGGTGACCCCATGGTTGAGTTTGATGTCCCCATGGTTGAGTTGGTGACCCCACGGTTGAGTTGGTGACCCCAGGGTTGAGTTGATGTCCCCATGGTTGGGTTGGTGACCCCATGGTTGGGTTGGTGACTCCATGGTTGGGTTGGTGACTCCATGGTTGAGTTGGTGACCCCAGGGTTGGGTTGGTGACCCCATGGTTGGGTTGGTGACCCCATGGTTGAGTTGGTGACCCAGGGTTGGGTTGGTGTCCCCATGGTTGGGTTGGTGACCCCATGGTTGGGTTGGTGACCCCATGGTTGGGTTGGTGACTCCATGGTTGGGTTGGTGACTCCATGGTTGAGTTGGTGACCCCAGGGTTGGGTTGATGTCCCCGTGGTTGAGTTGATGTCCCCACGGTTGGATTGGTGACCCCATGGTTGAGTTGGTGACCCCAGGGTTGGGTTGGTGTCCCCATGGTTGGGTTGGTGACCCCATGGTTGAGTTGGTGACCCCAGGGTTGGGTTGGTGTCCCCATGGTTGGGTTGGTGACCCCATGGTTGGGTTGGTGACCCATGGTTGGGTTGGTGTCCCCATGGTTGGGTTGGTGACCCCATGGTTGGGTTGGTGACCCGTGGTTGAGTTGGTGACTCCATGGTTGGGTTGGTGACCCCAGGGTTGGGTTGGTGACCCCAGGGTTGGGTTGGTGACCCCAGGGTTGGGTTGGTGACCCCATGGTTGAGTTGGTGACCCCAGGGTTGGGTGGTGACCCCAGGGTTGAGTTGGTGACCCCAGGGTTGAGTTGGTGACCCCATGGTTGGGTTGGTGACCCCATGGTGACCCCAGGGTTGAGTTGGTGACCCCATGGTTGGGTTGGTGACCCCATGGTTGGGTTGGTGACCCCAGGGTTGAGTTGGTGACCCCAGGGTTGAGTTGGTGACCCCAGGGTTGAGTTGGTGACTCCATGGTTGGGTTGGTGACCCCAGGGTTGAGTTGGTGACTCCATGGTTGAGTTGGTGACTCCATGGTTGAGTTGGTGACCCCAGGGTTGCGTTGGTGACCCCAGGGTTGAGTTGGTGACCCCATGGTTGGGTTGGTGACCCCGTGGTTGAGTTGGTGACCCCAGGGTTGAGTTGGTGACCCCATGGTTGGGTTGGTGACCCCGTGGTTGAGTTGATGATGTCGTGGTTGGGTTGATGTCCCCATGGTTGAGTTGGTGACCCCAGGGTTGAGTTGGTGACCCCGTGGTTGGGTTGGTGACCCCAGGGTTTGGGTTGATGACCCAAAGTCAAACTTGGTCCATTTTGGTGCCTTTGGGATGAAATTTCCCAAATTTTCCTCCTTTATTTATGAAAAATCCCTAATGTTTTTTTCCCAGAATTATTATAAAATAATGAATTTTTTTCCAGTATTTTTTAAAATAATTAAATTTTTTCCAGGATTATTCTAAAATAATTAATTTTCTCCAGTATTTTTAAAAAATAATTAAAATTTTCCAGTATTTTTATAAAATAACTAAAATTTTTTCCAGTATTTTTATAAAATAATCAATTTTTTCTCCAGTATTTTAATTAAATTTTTTTTTTTTTCAGTTTTTTTTTTTTATTAATTAATTTTTTCCCAGTATTTTTTTTTTATTAATTAATTTTTTTCCCAGTATTTTTATAAAATAATGATTTTTTTCTTCCAGGATTATTCTAAAATAATTAAATTTCTTTCCTGGATTATTCTATAATAATTCCATTTTTTCAGGATTATTCTAAAATAATTAATTTTTTCCAGGATTATTCAGAATTATTCTAAATAAATAAAATAAAATAATGATTCATTTATTTTTATTTATTTTTATTTATTCTAAAATAATTCATTTTTTCCAGTATGTTTATAAAATAATTAAAATTTTTTTCAGTATGTTTATAAAAGAATTAAAATTTTTCCAGTATGTTTATAAAATAATTAAATTTTTTCCAGTATTTTAATCAAATAATTTATTTTTCCCAGGATTATTATAAAATCATCAAGACTCCGATGGACATGGGAACAATTAAGAAACGTTTGGAGAACAATTATTACTGGAATGCCCAGGAGTGCATCCAGGATTTCAACACCATGTTTACAAACTGCTACATCTACAACAAGGTGGGCAAAAAATTGGGAATTTTGGGAAAAATGGGGAAATTTGGGGAAAAAATTTGGAATTTTGGGGAAAAAACAGAAAATTTTGGGGAAAAAAGGGGAAATTTTGGGGAAAAAATGCGAATTTTTTGGGGGGGGAGAATGGGAATTTTGAGGGGAAAAATTTGGAATTTTGAGGGGAAAAAATTTGGAATTTTTGGAGGTAATAAATGGGAATTTCTGGAGGAAAAAAAATGGGAAATTTTTGGGGAGGAAAATGGCAATTTTTGCAGGGAAAAAAATGGGAATTTGGGGGAAAAGTGGGGATTTTTTGGGAGAAAATGGGAATTTTTGGGGGGGAAAATGGGGATTTTTGCAGGTAAAAAAATGGGGATTTTGGGGGGGGAAATTGGAATTTTTTAAGGAAAAATGGGAATTTTTGCAGGGAAAATGGGAATTTTGAGGGGAAAAATTCGGAATTTTTGGAGGTAATAAATGGGAATTTTTGTAGGGAAAATGGGAATTTTTGGAGGTAAAAAAATGGGAATTTTTTGAGAGGAAATGGGGATTTTTGAGGGGGGAAATTTGGAATTTTTAGGGGTAAAGGGGAATTTTTTGGGGAAAAATGGGGTTTTTGGCAGGGAAAATTAGGATTTTTGGAGGTAAAAAACGGGAATTTTTGCAGGTAAAAAATGGGGGATTTTGGGGGGAACATTTGAAATATTTGGAGGTTAAAAATGGGAATTTTTGGGGGGAAAATAGGGAATTTTGGGGAAAAAAAGGGGAATTTTT